CCCGCCTCAGGCGGGCGCTGCAGGCACTGCTATGCTGGCCCTGCCTGAGGGCACAGCCAGACAATCAGTGCCCGCTGCCAGTGCTAGGCCCGGCCCCACAGGCCCAGAGCCTGCCCGGTGCCACACGGGCTGCCTGTGATGTCCAGGGCTCAAGGACATCTGCTCCTTGTCGGGAGAATGGCCTGGCTGAGGCTTAGGGCTTGAGAGGCACCAGCCATGTCAGAGCCAAGGGCAGGGGCACAAAGCCTGGGGAGGAGCTCCTGCTCAGAGGGGACACCAAGAATGCAGAGTGACAGCCACAAGGACATTTGGCACAACTTCCCAGATAAGGACAAAACTCATAAAGCTAACTCGGCAACTGTGCTGAAATTCTTCAGCTGGGGAAAAGGTACTTCTGGCACAGGGAGACAGCAACCACCCACTCCTGGCCCAGGGACCCCAGAAACCCAGCGAGAAAACAGAAGAGACAGACTGGGCACAGAGAAAGACTAGTTAGCATAAAAAGTGGGGCAATCTTCTAGCCAATAGAAAAATATTAATACATTAATATTAAGGCATCAGTAAATTCTTGCAAATTTATATTAGTTAACAATAAGAGAAAATATTACCTTAATATTTAATTATAAATAATAAATAGAAAAACAGATTAGTATTTTAAAATGCAAATGTAAATATAGCATATTATTTAATCTTTATAATGTCCATAAATAATAAATCTCTAAAAATAAAAAATATTTTAAATATTCAAAGATAATCTATTGTGTAATATATGATATAGAACATTGTAGATTACATATAATATTAATGTAATATCTAAATATTTAAATATTATACTATAAAATATTAAAAAAAATTAATAAAAATAATAAGAGAACCATGTAACTGGTAGGCAATGAGCATGAATGCCTTTGTTCACTAAAATGTATAAATAGTGAAAAGTTTTGATAGTTACTGTGCTGGCTCTGTGGATTTGCCACCCAGCAGCTCCTCCTGTGCAGAACTGTCAATAAAGGAAATAGCTGAACTCTGTGTGGGGATTGGCTTCTTGCACACGGGGTGAAAGGATCCCTTTGGCACAGCAGCTTTGCCATGGCCCCATGGATAAAAGCTGCTGCTTTTCCAGGCAGGCTCAGCTGTGCCCGGCCCATCTCGGAGCCAGCCGGGCGCAGGCAGAGCAGCAGAGATCTGAAACTCGGCGGCTGCGCGGTCGCTGTGCCCAGACAATCCCACAGCAGCCACGAGAGCCCCTCTGGGAACGAGCACCAGATCCCAGAGGGCACCTCTGCCAGCTGCCCCCGAGCCCCTGCACCGAGGAGTTGTGGTCCGGGTGTTTGGGGAACCTCCTGGGGCTGCTTGGCTCAGCTGTGTGGTGTTCCAGTGAGCACCTGGCAAGCTGAGTGGCTGGTTTGCAGGTGTCCCTTGGTTCCTTCAAAAATAATTTTTCAGGGTCATTGTCCTGGTTGGGTGGCCAAGAGCAGCCTCTCACAAAACACTGCCAGGGAATTCCTATAAGCCAGGAATTCTTAGGAGATAAAAAGCACAGCCACATAGGATTTAGCTGGGAAGTACAAGGTTGAAATGTGTATTGCTTTTGGCTAAAACATACCTATTAAAAATATGTTTTATTTTTAATGAGACCTGCAATGGAGATGGGGACAGGCCAAAAGGTCTATTCTTTGGATATATTTTGGAAGAAGGAACTGCCAGCGTAAAGTCTGTGTTTTAGAGGAGAAGCTACATTTCCTGTGCTGCTGAAAACCTCTCCTGGAAAGAAAACCAAAACGAAACACAAAACCAAACCAACCAACCAAAAAACAACAACAACCCCCCTTAACCCAAACCAAAATGAAAGCACAGCACAAAAAGAACCACCCCAAAAAAACAGAGCAGACAACTGAAACCAAAACTGAAATCAAATCCCCAGAAATGAAGAACTGCTGTCACTCAAATGGTATTAAGCCACCCATCTCAATCCCCTGAATTCTAGTCATTGTTCAGCATCTCACTGCAGCTAAGAAGAGATCACATAAATCACAGTCACACGTTACTTCCCTCCAGGCACTATGTTTGAATAAAAGCATCAGCTTCTCTTTGCTTGTCTAGGTGGATTGCTCTTGGTCAGAATTTTCCTTTAAGCACAACCTGTCTCAAAAAGAGCATCTTTCACTTTCTTTTCCTATCTTCTATTTTTCTTTTAAGTATAGTGAAAACTTCCCACTTTGAGTTAGATAACACCACACAAAGAACATGAAGAAACAGTTGCCACTGAGGAACTGAAAATGTTACTTCTTATTTGATCAATATTTTCAATGGCTGCCATCAAATTGGACTGCCAGGGATCCAGGGATTTTTAAGAGACATGTCAGGACCCTGAAATACTTCTCACACTCTTAAATGGAGAAGTAAAAAAGGAGCTTTGTCCAGGTACTTTTTTCTTTATAGGACTGGTTGTCATGTTAACCTAGGAGGTAAAAATGAGAGCATCTAAAATATGTTTCTACGTAGGGGTACAAGGGATCTCTATGTGTGGAATGCTCTGCTGGGGATATTTGAAATGTGAACCTGCCCCTGGCAAAGTGTAGGAAAGGAAGTTTTGGCACGACAGGGACAAAGCTGCTGGTGTCCACCCAAGGTGACCTCCAGCCACGTCTCTGTTTCCAGTGTCTGCCCAGGACAGGTAAGCACTGGAAGATTGGGTACTTCTAGAGATGCAGAGGATGTGGAAAACCACTGCTACCACCTGCTGTGCCATCCCACTTCTAAATCCACAATCCCACACCCTGAGTAATGCCACAGCCTAAAGCTCAGGGCTTCCCATGGGATTTGCCTACTGGGGTTAGAAAAAGATGGATTGCTGTGCAGGCTTTCACCTTACTGCATGGTGGTGTCCTCACTTGTGTAATAAGCACCCAGAGGTATTTCCCAGCATTTTCCCAGCTCAGGAGAATGCTCCTTGTGGTTGACAACACCAGCTGGCATGGAGAACAGAGACCTCCACCACTGCAGCTGTTGTTTTCCCCCCAGATTAAATTTTCAGAATTAGGATTCCATGATAAAGCTTTTCACTTCTTCCTAGGAGGCAATTCCTTTAAAAGTGTTGAAATCGTGAGTGCAAAGTCAAAATCCCACTTTCAAACCAACTCTTCAAGATTGCTTCTAATCTGAAAAGTAAATGAAAAAGTGGCAAGTATTCACTTTTGCATGATTTCTTCAGGTCAGAGCGGTTTCAAAGTACTTGAGAGTCCTCTTGCCATATTTAAATACTGTGTCATGAACAAATGAAAACAAAGCTGATGATGGCTATTGAGCACTGCAGATTATCAACACACTTCAGTCCAGCCCAGGTGACTCAGCTTCATCTCTGTAAAAGTGGAAACACCATGGGTTAAAGACCATTTTGCAGGAATTCGTGCTGCGGAAGGTTCTCAGAGTGATTTGATCTTTGTTTCAAATGAAAGAGGTGCAGCTTTTACTGTTGCAAAGAGTGGAACACTTGTACAGAGTGTGAAGAACAGAGCCAATGTAAAGCATGAGAATGTTGTACTTCACGGTAACTGCTAAACAGAAATTGAAATAAAATTTAATTGTAATTGATGTGAGATTAATTGTGGCCTGGAGCAGGAGGCAGTGGCTGTCAGACTCCACAGAGCTCGAGGGCTGTCTCAGAGCTTGGCACTCTTGAGCACTGCCAGCCATTAGCACTGTAATTATGTTATTTTTATAATTCAAGCATGTAGCAAAGGGTGATTATGATGCAGAGGAATAAATGTCCTGCCAGAAACACAAGCACCACCCAAAAAATTATTATTATTAAGAAGAATGACTTAATGTGGAAAAACATAGAAACAGCTATTGAAGCGCTCAGTTTGTACCCACCTCATCAGCAGCAAGATGCTAAGGAGCAACCACCGAGTCTGCCAAAGTCAAATTGAGTCAGGCTAATTTAAATGGATTTTTTGGCAGTGTCCCTGGGCTATGGAGCAGTTTGCAGACCAGTAGCAGGAAACTTTAGGGACTGGTGAGAGACACAACACCAGAAAGCTGCTGGGAGCACAGCAGTGGCTACAAGTGGCAGCCATGGTTGAAGATTTGAAGCTTTCAAGCTTCATTTGAAGTTTCAAAAGGGGCTTCAAGCAGGAACCACAGAACTAATGTTTTAATATCAAGAAAAAATGTAAGGAAAGATTAAAACAGGTGGGTTCAGTCTAGGCAGGAGGGAGTAGATGAGGACAATCATCAGACACATCATGGAATGATATAAAAAGAATAGTGATGAGTTATTCTCCATGTAATTGGCTTGGTCCGTTTAGGTTAATTCCATATGGTTGGGGAATAATTAGAATAACAGTGGAATGCTGCAGGAAGCAACTTAAGTTATGGAATCAGCCATATGGGAGATGTCTGAACCACAGGGGGACAAACACCACTTAAGACCAGTCCAGACACATGCTGTGCTTTAAAAAAGGGAAATTGAATAAATGTTTCTACAGCTTCCTTTCAATCATGTGTTTGATTCTATATTTAACATGAACAACCCTTAGGGTTGCATGAAGTCCCTACATTTTTTAATATAATTTGAATTTAAAGGAAGAAAAAAGAATTAAATCAAACTATGTAGATTTGCAACCTAAATTTGGCAAAATAATTCAAGTAGCTGGATCTTTACATGTTAGCATTGCTGTTCTGTGTTGCCAACATCACTTAAAAGCAGCTTAACAAATGTGTCTGCTCTTGCCATACTTTCTCTGAACAGAAGAATGTTATTAATAAACTGACATCAAAGTAATTTGCTGTATTGCAAATGGTTTTAGATTGCAATTTAGACTAAGTCCTGTTTGTGTATTAGTATTTAAAGGGAACCAAAAGAAAAGACATACAAAAAAGAAACAAGTAAAACCAAAGCCCTAAAAGTATTAATGACAATCTCACTTTCACAAATCCTGGAATTTTATGACTGACTTCCTGAACACTGCATTTCCAAACCAGACTATTTTATTTTCACTTCTTATCAAAATACCTGTTTGTTTTCAGATTAGAATAAAACCACAGAGAGCAAAGATAGTTTAAAAACTGTGCATTTGACTTGTTGTACAATTGGTGTTCATATGCTTATTGAGTTCTGGAGGCAATGCATTACAGTCATAGGTATAAAAATATAGAATTGTCTTTATTAATGAGGTATGCATTTGTTCAGATCAGGTCTCTTGGGATACAGCCCTCTATTTGGATTTCAGCTGGCCAGCCTTGGTATCTGTTCTTTGTCTGGTCAGAGTGGTTTATCTGTAAAAATAAAATAAATTTAAAAAAAATCAGTATCTAGTTTTTTCTATTTATATACCAGTTTGTCAAACTTATACAAGAGAAGAGGGTAATGAAGGAGGACTGGGAAGCTGAGGAGAATGTTGCACATCTTGCTTAACATAATGGGCGAAGATTCTGCCAGTTCCTCTCTTACATGGAGTGCTTTATTTATTTCACAGATGGCTATCATAATATACACTAAACTGATTATCTTTGTCCAGCAGAAGCTCTGAAATGTGAAGAATATTGCAAAAATATTCTGCACCAGCACAAGTTGGGGATGACCTGCTGGGGAAAAGCTCTGTGGAGAAGGACCTGGGGACAATGAGCTGTCCCTGACCAGCAGAGACCAAAGAGGCCAATGGTGTCCTGGGGGCATTGGGATGGGCACTGCCAGCAGGTTAGGGCTGACCCTGCCCCTGTGCCCAGCCCTGGGGCACCTCTGGCTGCTGTGCCCAGCTCTGGCTCCTCAGCACAGCAGGGCCAGGAGCTCCTGGAGCTGAGCAAGGGCCTGGAGCAGCTCCGTGCCCAGGAAAGGCTGAGGGAGCTGGGGCTGCTCAGCTTGGAGAGGAGCCCAGGGGGAGAGAGGGGCCTCAGCCCTGCCTGGGCCTGCCTGGCCCTGTGTCTGTCCCTGGGTCTGTCCATGGCTGTCCCTGTGTCTGTCCCTGGCTGTCCCCGTGTCTGTCCCTGTGTCTGTCCCTGTGTCTGTCCCTGCCTTTCCCTGTGTCTGTCCCTGTGTGCAGAGCTCAGAGCAGGCCCAGGCTCTGCTCCAGGCCCAGCAATGGCCCCAGAGCCACGGGCAGGGCCTGAGCCCAGCAATTCCCCTCACAGGAGACACAACTTCTGCCCTGGGCAGTGCCCAGCCCTGAGCAGAGATCAGAGGGGCCCTGGGGGCTCCTCCTGGGAACATTCCAGAGCCACCTGGACACAGCCCTGTGCCCTGAGCTCTGGGATGGCCCTGCTGGAGCAGGGAGGTGGCACCAGAAGAGTTACCTTGGTCCCTTCCAGCCTGACCATCCAATATCACTGATCCAGTGATATTCTGGGAAAAGAGCCCCACTGTGGAACTTTGACATGGCTGTGGAGGGAATCAGCATTGTCGTATTTTCAGGGTCCCCAGGATGAAGAAGGAATTGAGAATCTTTGAGAATTGAGAAGGAATTGAGAATCCTTCTCAATTCCAATTGAGAAGGAATTAAGACTCCTTGTTCTTAGAAGGCTGATTTATTATTTTATGTATTTATATTAAATAATGCTATACTAAAACTATACTAAAGAATAGAGAAAGGATACTTACAGAAGGCTTAACAAGATACTAATGAAAAACCTGTGACTCTCTCCAGAGTCCCAACACAGCAGAACAGTGATTAGTCATTAAGTAAAAACAATTCACATGTTGGATAAACAATCTCCAACACATTCCAAAGCAGCAAAACACAGGGGAAGCAAATGATGTAATATTATTTTCATTTTTCTCTGAGGCTTCTCAGCTTCCCAGGAGAAGAAATCCTGGCAAAGGGATTTGTCAGGAAATATGATAGTGACACAGCATCATCAAAGGACCTGAACTCTGTGTTGGATTTTCTCATTTCTGTCTGCCTCAGTCATATGATGAGCACGACTGGGCTTACAGAAACTCAACACAACAAGGGCACAGATGCAAACAGAAATCTCTGTGAAAAACAGTATCTTTAGTCTTCCTGCAACCTGTGGGCAAGTTATTCCCAAAGTTTTTGGTTTTGATATACAGACAAATATAAAGTGAAAATGAAACAAATCTGACCTTTTCTTTTTGGATATAATCTGGCAGAGTGAAGCCTTTGGCAGCTATAAAAACCCAACTTGATCTGAACTTTATATTCTTTATTTCTCTACTTCCCAGTTCTTCCACTAATTTTTTGGCGTCATCTTTCAACCTAGGAAAACGAGATGAAAAAATGAGTGTTAAAAAAATGAATGTTCACATTCAGGATGTGAAAAATGATGAAAAAGATCATGGCTGATTCATGCTTTACATTCAGCATTAAGCCTGCAGAAGTAAAAATGAGATTTAAATAGTCTTGAGAGCTGTGGTAGCAGCATCACATTGAATTCACAGAGAGAACTGAATTTATAAAATTTTTTCCTTCTCAGTAAATGACTGATGTTAATACAACCTGTTTGTAACAGCATAGCAGAAAGGAATATGTATATCAAATACTGTCTGGTGCTTCAGTCCTTCCTAAATAAGGACAAGGGTATCAAACATGGATTAAGCATTTTTCTGAATAATACTATATTATGAACTCAGCTAAAAACCCCCAAAGATTCAAAAGCACCTGAAAAATCAGATTATGATAGTAGAAGGAATGCAGACTAGAGACATCATAATTCGAGGTGTGGATAAATAACATTTCAAAGTAAAGAAGATTGTGACCCAGAGGTAACAGCAAAATTTGGAGTGCTTTTAAACAACATAATATCTACCCATCCTAGGGAGCACCAACACACAGATATGTGCAATTGTGGAAAAGACATGGAATTAAAACTTTTACACAAGAATTGAGGGAACAACTCTGAGTGTAGAGTGGAATTTACCATTCCTTTACACCAATGCCCAACATGAATTTTCCAGTTTTTCACCCCTCTGCCCCGCAGGCTCCATAACCTCCTACCTGGTGCTGCCATCATCGTGAGTGGCCATCAGAAGGAGGGTCCCTTCGGGTGCTTTCCTGATGAAATCCATCATCTCCCCTGAGTGGTCTGTGGAGTCATAATAACACAAATTATTAGAATAACAGAATAACCAGGATAACACAGCTGCTTATTCCTGGCACACACATCACATTCCTACTCATGCACCCAGGGCCACCAGAATTTTTATGGAGTCAGGGAATCACCTTCCAGTGCCTCAGAGCATTCTGGTTCTCCTCACTAATATGCAAGGAAATTTGCCATTCAAAGTATAGAAAATGTGTTAAAAGCTATTCTTAAAGTAGATAATCTTTCCAGCTATGTGGAATGATGTTAAGAGACAGATAGGCAAATTTCCGATGATAATTTTATAACTAAAATACAGCAAGATATGGCAGGAAAAGGAATTTTGCTGAGTGAAGTATCTGGATGTCATATCTGGTTAAGTGCTATTCCTACCAGACTGAAATAATGGAGACCAAAGAAAAAGACAAAACAAAAAAGGGGAAAAGAACAAGATAATTTAACAAAGAAGATCATTAACTATCTCAACCAACAGGAGAAAATTCAGCTTTTCAGGCTAAATTTGTCATCATATCTGGCCTGAACATATTTTATGAATACAGCAGCTGTTTGTTTCTAGCTGATCCCTGTTGAGAATACAAAGTCAAACAGGAAAGAGGAGGATAATTACATTAATCTGTCTTTTCTTAATGCAGAAACACTAACAAAAGCTCTGTTGGACTCTTCTTACCTCTTCCCCACATTTCAAAAAATTTTGTCGAAATGAGTTTTCCTGTTTTATCTGTAATTAAAAAAAGAAATCTAAATATGAGCAAATATTATTTTATTCAATAGGCAAACCTAGAATTTTCAGCTAAAGCTAGACATCCCTAATTCTGAGTATTATTTGGCTTCTTTTGTTTCAGTTCATAAATTGGAAGAAATATGAAATAACAAGTTTAAGATTTGGGGAGAATATTTTTTTTCGCATAGTCACCGAATCATCAAATGTGATTAAAAATTTTTATTTCTTCTTATTTAAAACAATTTTCTGGTGTGTGCTTCCATGTTTTTATATCTAAATATACTATAAGAGGTCACAGCTGTAGATAGGAAAATTGGTTAAGCCTAAGGCTATTTGAATGAGCTTAATTCTATTCTGTGCAGTGTTTCAGATGGTTAACCTTTCATCCATAAGGCACTTATTAAGAACAGTCATTATTGCCTGATCTAATTAGTGGATATATAAAAAAATATGTTTTGCTACAGGCTGGTGCAGGATAATGGACAGATTTACTTGCTCCTATTTGCTACCATCTTGCTTGTGCATTCAAGATCAGTATTTCTCCTCTTACTTTCATTTTAAACTCATTTTTGTATTTTATACCCAGGAAAGATTTTATGATTTTTGGAAAAAAAGGGGCAGTAGTTTACTGGGGAAAAAATTTGTAACAGATTTTTGTCAGTGGTTAATTTTATCCTCAGCAAAATCATACAAGTTTAGACAAAGTCAAGATCTTGTTTAGCAATAGTGAGACAAAAAAAAATTAAAATATAAGTGTTTTGTGATCAAAGCCAGCTTGACTGTGCCTGTGAACTCCCTTTTTATCCCCTCTTCCACAAGATTTCGGCATTCATTTTTTCCTGGACCCATTATTGAATACATTGCACTTCATCACCCTTCCCATTCATCTAAATCAAAATTTAGGATTTAGGTGCCTCCAAACCTAGAATAAAGCACACCTGCTGCTTCCAGTGCTTTTACTGTAAGCAAATGGTAGTTTAATATTAATTAAAGTTTGTCTTTCTGTATCCTGAACAAGTGTGGAAAAGGAATTTGTACCATGGCTACATCTTGAGGCAGAACTGCAGCTCTCAGTTCCTGCCTCCCCCTTATCAGTGAGCAGCAGATATAATTTATCAAGGGCTGAAGCTGAAAGCTGAGTCCTGCTGCTGGAGATCACAGATATTCTTGCTGTGCTACAAGTCTTTTTTCTAATAAAATACATCTATGTGCACATTTTCTGTTTTCCTCTATTGATTATGAACATGTCTCTTTTGTTTACCCAGAAGGCTGTTTTTATCACACAGATTTGTTTTTCTTACATTAATGTGAATCAAGTTTGCAATATTTTCCTTTCCCTTCCATACTAGCTGGTAAAAAACCCCACCAAATAAAATATATAATCCCCCCAAGAACACTGGTAATTTATTGCAGTCCAAAAGTATGTGTCTCTTTAACACTTTTTTCTCTTACTTACAATTCACAATGGCAATGTTTATACCACTTCTAACTTCATAATTGTCTTCATTTATAAACCTGGAATTGAAATAAATACAATATCAGTAAAAGACACCTGTCCAGCAGCTCTGTTGCAAAGTTATGTGTACCAGTGCTAAGTAATTTTCTGATACTTGTTTTCTTCAGTTATTTAATTCAAAACTCTATTATAAACAAGAGCTTAAAAATCTTGCACAGTGTATCAGTAAGTTTCGTTCAACAATGCCTCTTTCAAAATGAGCCAGATCAAGAAAATATTTCATACATTTGCAGCCAGGAAGATAAAGGAGGAAAAAAACCCCAAACAAACAAGATGAGGTGTTTTTGTGACTGTACTCTCTGTGGATTATGTCTCCAGGAAAGGTCACTGCAAGGTTTTGAAGTTATTTCACCTGTCCAGTTTGAAAAGCTGTGAAAGAATCTGACTTTCAGAAGGTGCTGAGCAGTTAGAATTCTGTAAATCTGCTATCCTGCACCATGAAAATTAAAAAATCCTGCTGAAAGCTAACCATGTCTGCAGTTTATATAGGAGAACAAAGAAAATCACTGGAGATTAGGTTAAAAAAAAAAAAAAAGACAGAAGAAGAAGAGTTAAATACTGTCAGATAAATTCTGAAGTTTTCCACCAGAATGGAGCCCCTGGTAGGAGCTCAGTTGCTGCTACTAAACCCAAACACCTTTAGAAGCACTGGATTAGGTGTAAAGTTAGAATGGTACTCACTCCTCATCCTCAAAACAAATTTTAGGCCTCCTCTGTTTGCCACCACCACTGAGGATGCGATAGACAAAGTTCCCAGGTGGGCAGGGAGCCCAGAGGCCACACTTCTGCCTTCTGGGGGCTGGGGCTGCAACAGCAAAGAGGAAAAAATGTTTTATTGGATGCTGCACAAACAATTTCAACATGGGATGAACCCCCTAAAGCCAACCTGCTGAACTCAAACATCTGAACGCAGAATCCTGGGATCGTGGCAACTTCATCACAGGTTGGTTTGGGCTGGAAGTTATCACTGATTCCAAAGAGGTATAATCCAAAAAACTTGAAAATAAGGTAATTATTATCTGCAATTCCACATAACAGGAAACAAGAGCTACCAGGATGAAGGTTTCCTACCAGCAGCTTGAAGTGAATAGTTATCATTCTTATTTTAAGCCCTTTTTTCACACAATAACTTAGTCACAGAATGACAAAAATATACACAGTAAACCACCTGGTCAGAGTAGAGCTAAAAAATAATGAGAATTTACTTACAAAGTTTAGTTACTGGTTCAGCTGTTTATCATAAATATAAATTACGTGCAATAGAAACAAAGCTGCAGCTTTGCACTCTTTTGCCCACAAATAAATTAGTTGTTCTTACATCAGTGTTCAAATAATTACTTTTGTACATTTGCAAAAATAGGCTGACATTGTGTTTCTTCAAAAACAATGTCTAAGAAAAGGTTTAGTTTTGCTTTAATTAACTTTACAGTTAACTTCACTCTTATAATAGCACATACCAAATGGTTTCTTAGCTAACAAGCCATTTATTATTTAGCACATAAATACACAATATCAGATACAGCATAAGAAAGAAAAAAAAAGGAAGTAAATACAACTACATACGCCTCAACACTGGTTTCTTTCCAATCTCTTGAAGTGCAGCAATAGATACGGTATTTTGGGGTACATGAACAGCAAGAAAGTATCCCAAATACCAAGCAGCCAAGGATGTCAACAGGAATCCAAATAATCTCAGAACAGCTGTGAAGGGGAAAATAAAAAGGACAAAAACCCACACAACATAAAACATAAAAATGTTTTCATAGCAACACAAAAAATCTTTTTTTTTTTTTCTGGCACTGCTACCCAAACTGGCTAGTTTGATTCACTGTGCTAACCACAGCCTTCAGAGATGTGGCAATAGAGTATTAGGTGAATTCCTGTCTCCAAGGACAACCCCTTTTGTTTCTAAAACTTGATCTTCAAGCAGAAAATTCCCCCAATCACTCTCTTCAATCCACATCCATAGCATCTCAAAGAAACACAAAGTTTAACTCAACCCTTGTAGGATTTTTGACTCTGAAAAGTAAATACTGGGTACTACAGAGGTGTTTTGCAGTTACTGTTGATTTTTTGAGACCTGCAAACACTTCAGGAATTGTTTTAAACACTGAGCAAGCAGGGAATTTTCTGCACCCACATTTTTAACATGCTGGGTAAAAACAGCATAGCCCAAACAATCCCCTTCACACAAGGAGCTCTCACTGCATTCACAGAATCACAGAATAATCTGGGTTGGGAGGGACCTTCAATCTAATTAATTAATTTAATTTGCCCTCTTTTCAATGAGCAGGGAATTCTTCAGCTGCATCAGGCTGCTCAGAGCCCTGTCCAGCCTGACCTTGGGTATTTCCAGGGATGGGGCAGCCACCTCCTGGATAACCCGTGCCAGTGTTTTAGCACCTTGTTGTGAAAGGCTTCCTCCTCCTATTGAATATCTGCTTTTCCTCAACACCAGAAGTGCTGATGGCTTTCCTGATGAAACACACCACCTAAGTTATGATGCTAAACTAGGGAATATCACACTGCAGTAGTGGAATACGTTGTTTTAGAGGCATGAATCACTTCCTGATCTGCAAAGAATCATCCTTGAAAACAAGGGTCTGTTAAAGTGAAAATTATTCATTTTGTAGTCCTGAAAACTGAGTTCAACAGGATCAATGTCCAAAACTATGCAGTATGTTTACTTTGCCAGCTCTCTAGAAAATATCTTGTATTATCCAGTCTGAACCTTCCTTACAACTGTTTACACTCATGAGATAATTCTCTCCTTTCCTTGTTCGAACTACCTTTTATAAACATTAAGATTTCTGCCCTACCCTTTCTGTAGAATAAGGCCAGATTTTTCACTTGTCCTCCTTCAGTCCTGTTTTGCGAGTTCTGCCACTCCTGTGAATTCTGCCCAATTGGTCTGCATCCAAATTCTGAAAAATTCTGTTATTCCAGTTATTCATGCCAGAAGGAACTTTGATTTTTTTTTTTTCCATAAGAGCAGACTTTATTCGCACAGGTTCTGTTGATAATCTACCATAAAGACAGATTTTTTCCTCTCTAGCTACTCCCTCTTTGTATTTCTCCACGTGGTTATTCCTGCATTCTCCCAGCTTTAAAAATAAAAAGCCCATTGAAACATTGCAGAAACATTTGTGTGACTGCAGGGAAAATATTGTGAAAATTTGCTGTGTTTTCATCAAAGGATTAAGCTTGAGAAAGTAATGTAATGGATCTTCAGCTATTATGAATTTCCCTACGTATTACTCATGAGAAATCTCTCACTCCACCACGAGTAGTGGTGCAAACCCACACTAAAATAATACTGAAATTACTCTGACACCTCATTTGAGCAGCGATGTGAACACAAACACTGACAAAGTCCACATGCACAAATCAGGAAGCTGCTGGAACCAAGCAGAATGATCTTAGCTCTTTTTCAATATTAAAAATTTACCAGATTTATACACAAAATATATTTAATTGATAAAGGAAGCCAAGTCACAAGTTTCAAAGACAAAACCCTGGAAGAATGAAGTGAAAATGACAATTTCATTGAGAGATTTTAGTGACTATTTTTGGGGACAGGATGGGGCATGGTGCATTGCAAAGATCTGTGAGAGCACCAGTCAGGTTTTGTTTTGCTCATTCCACAGTTAGCATGGCAGGTTTACCTTTACAATGCATTTGCACTATTTTTCATCATTATTATGGAGCAACTCTGTTGCAAAACAGGCTCAACAGTGCAGCCGTTTATCTAAATAGAAGAGAAAGTACAATGTCTAACTGCTGTTATGCCTGATGTTCCCTGGTGGAAATCATGGAACAGATTATCCTGAGTGTGACCACGTGGCACAAACATGATAACCAAGGGACCAGCAAGGATTTAGGAAAGGCAGGTCCTGCCTGACCAACCTGCTCTCCTTTTCTGACCCCCCTGGGGGATGCGGGGAAGACTGCGGATGTTGTGTGCCTGGACTTCAGCAAAACCTTTGACACATCTCCCACACATCTCCTGGAAAAGCTGCAGCCCAGGCCTGGACAGGTGCATCTTCCCTGGGTTAAGAATTATCTGCTCAGGGGTTTTGGGGGATGGTGCCACATTCAGTCACGAGTGGTGTCCCCCAGGAACAATTCTGCAGCTGATCAGGTTCAATGTCTTTATTGATGATCTGGGTGAGGGGATCAAGGGACCAACTGCACACTCAGTTTGCAGACAACACAAGGTTGGGTGGGAGTGTTGATCTGCTGGAGGGCAGGAAGGCTCTGCAGAGGTATCTGAACAGGCTGGATCAATGGGCTGAGGCTTGGATCAGGAACAGGGTGGCCACAGGAGCAGGACTCACCTGTACTGGGCACTGGTGAGGCCACACCTCGAGTCCTGTGTCCAGTTCTGGGCTCCTCACCACAGGAAAGGCATTGAGGGGCTGAAGTGTGCCAGAATGGAGCTGGGCAGGGGCTGGAGCCCCAGGAGGGGCTGAGGGAGGTGGAAGGGGCTGAGGCTGGAGCAAAGGAGGCTCAGGGGCCCTTGTGTCTCTGCACAAGGCCCTGCCAGGAGGGCACAGCCAGGGGGGTCAGGCTCTGCTCCCAGGGAACAGGGACAGGAGCAGAGGGAGAGGCCTCAGGCTGGGCCAGGGCAGGCTCAGCTGGGACAGCAGCAGCAATTTGCCCATGGAAAGGGAGCTCAGGCCTTGGCAGGGGCTGCCCAGGGAGCTTTGCAGTGCCCATCCCTGGAGGAGTGGAAGAAACAACTGGATGTGGCACTCAGTGCTACTCTCCATTTCACAGAGCGGTGATCAATCAAAGGCTGGACTTGATGATCTTGGAGGCTTTTCCCAACCTAAATAGTTCTGCGAACCTATAATATATTCTGTATTTTATTTAGAACTATGCCTTTTAAGGCTCAATAGATTTCCCAACTGTCCTGCATAGTTTGTACCTGGTTCTCAAAACTCACAGTATATTTTCACTGCCAACCAACTTTTGCTTTTGCTTTCTGGGACTCAGAAGGCATCAAGAGACCTCATTGACCCAAATTGCTGGGTCCAGCTGGCTCTCTTAGGTTTACTGAGGTTATTTATTTTGCATACATACATTCATTTTTCGGTTTCTCCACTGTGCAAACCTCTACACAGTTAACAGCAAAACCATAAGCTCAGACAAAGTTAAGGTAATCAAGAGCACAATAAAGCACAATAAAGCACAAAGTGCAGCCTGCATGCAGGAAAGGCAGACTGTGCTCTTGTTGATATTGGAGGCTGTGTTTGCTCAGCACCAAGGAGCACCATGGGGACACTGAGCTGCAGAGGTGTTGCTGTGCCTCCCTCACTGCATTCCTGCCATGGAGGAGCTCCCTGAGAGTTCTATCTTGTCACTGTCATGAGGCAGGGACACTCACGATACTCACAGTGCCAGGCAGAGGAGATGGCAGAGAGAAGCCAGGAGGAAGGACAGTCAGGATGGAGGTGTGGCAGGACACGTAAAACAGCAGAGCATAAGGAAAAATGACAGAATCACAGATTATGCCGAGTTTAAAGGGACCCACAAGGATCATCCAGTCCAACCCCAACAATCCCACCCTGTGCCTGAGAGCATTGTCCAAACCCTTCTTGAGCTCTGTCAAGTTCAGTGCTCCCTTCTTCCCCGGGGAGCTGTTCAGTGTCCGACCACTCTCCAAGTGAAAAACCCTTCCCTAAAATCCTAATATCTCCCTATCCTACTATCTCCTCTCCCCTGAGAGAGTTTCCTGCCCTTCCCTCGTGTCCTGTGTCAGCATTTCCACCTTTCAGCAGCTCCCAATTTCCCTTGACCCTTAGGTGCCTCTTGGCAACAACTAAATCACTAAAAGCAAGCCCAGTACTGGTTATTCTGTATTTAGTTGATCCCAAACCCCCACGCAGCCACACCTCGCTAACACACACCCATCTGCACGCAGCTGGGCTTGAACACAGGAGAAAAACTATAAAAAGAGGATATATTTAAGACTCGAGCATGACTTATTCCAGACTAAGAGCTGGGTTTTGAGCCAGCATCAGCCCTCTCGCCCCTTCCCCTTGGCCATCGGGGTCTCATCCCGCCCGGAGCGGCTCCGGGGCGCATCCTACTCACAGTGCCGGGTCAGCTTCATTATTCCTCCTCCTCTTCCTCCTGCCCGTCCCTCTTGCAGCCTTCCCCTGCCAGCACCGGGAAGACAGCGGGAAGGGGAGCGGCCGCCTGTAAGCGCCGCACCGCCCCGTTAAACAGCTTTAAATTATTCTCCGCAGAGGGCACGCAGCTGGCCCGCGGGACAG